CACAGGATGAAATATATCAACTGAAGAAGCCATGACAGTGAGGGGCAGTCTGGTCTGTGCAGCAGGGAGGTTGTGCATCACTTGACTGTGATACTCAGTGAGGAACATGTAGCCTGTGTAACGGCTGCTTCTGGTACAGAGACTCCGCAGCCTGCTTTTATTTACATAAACACATTTTCCCACCAGCTTATTCAACACTTGTAATAACATCTATTATTTTATGCAATCAGCAGTTTTTTTTCTCCCCCTGCTCTGAGAGAAAACACAGCATGGGAAGTTGCTTCTGCTGATTTAGTCCAGTCAGCTGCACAGTGTTTTGATTCTGTGGTAAACAGCAGAAAAACGTCCACACCATTTATTTCTGTCCATTAGTTATGACCTAATATGGCACATAATGAGCTCCTGTCACCATGCATTTTCACCAACACTCAACATATCCTGTGCAACGTTCTCCAATAATAGAAATATGCAAATTTGTGATGTATGTTGTTCATTTCTGAACTCTGTCATTTTCTCTCTTCTATTATTTATTCCGCTGTTTAAGACTTTTTTTCTGCGTACACGCCTGTTTTCAATATATTTTTAAAGGGTCATCAGTCTTGCGACATGCCGCTTTTTTTAATATCTGTGCTTCATCCAATCTTATATTTCTTATACTTGAACTTTATTTTATTTTGAGCTTCACAAATATTAATTGAATTCAGTGAAATAAGACAAAAGCTTTCACCTTTTTTCAACTAACCTGGTTTAACAGCCAGTTGAACCACTGCTGTTTCAGCTTCTGTAGCTTCACAAGAGATTTATAACTTTAGGCAACACGACCGCATGTGACACATTTTCATTCGTATACACTGTGTGTCTAATGATCTTGTCCCAATTCCTTGCAATAACAAACATAATCATGTATTTGTGTAAAGGAAATCTAATCTCTTTCGAACAACCAATGCTGCATAGTGCGGTTTAAAACTAATTTGTGTGATTGATTGATCAAATTTGATCATTGTTTCACTGTTACAGTTTATTATAAGACAATTTTAATCACAGACACAGAAGCTAATATTTGCTAATGTTATAATAATGTCTGAAATTGATAACTTGAGCAGTAAAACAGTGCCTCAACCATAGAGTCTGAACGCTCCGTGTGTTGCCTAACCCTTTGGGAAAGTAACTAATCAGAATTTCATGGCATTTTCCACAACACAGGATTACATATTATCATCCCTTATGGTTGTTAGTGTCTGTGTAGGTGCTTTGCTCAGTGTTTGTGTTTGTAGGTCCAGGTGTGTGAATGTATTTGTCCTCACCTAACAAATGTTTTGTTGAATCAGCTCCATGAAACCTTCTAATAGCTCAGGAGGAGATTCTGGCTTCCTGGAACCATCCCAGTGGACAGACAGTCATATTGTCATCACTGGTTTTACTATAATGACATTAAATCAATAGAGACAAAGCAGAGTTTTTGCTTCACACTCTTTTCAGGAGAAAGAAAAACCTAATGAAGAAGCAGTAGGTTTGAGCACAACATGTTGTTACCTCCGCCAAGGTGTTTTCACCCGTTTGGTTGTTGGTTTATCGAGAATACACAAAAACTACTGAACAGATTTCCATGAAAATTGGAAGGGTGTGGTATGGGTCAGGAAAAAACCCATTAAACTACATGTTCACAGATTTCCCAGGTAATAATGTGTGGATCTTTGAAAAGACAAGGCACATTTACAAGACTAATGTAAGTAGAAAGTTTGTAATGTGGTGCAGCTTGATTGAATTTGGTGGAGAGATTTGCTATATTTAGAGCCATTCTATTTTCTGCCTTGCACTTGTTTTCCAAAAGAAAATGTAAGAAACAAACCACAAATTACTTATCCCTCTTTAACTATTTAAATCAAAACAAACAGGATCTTTCTCTACTTTCCAGCTCGAGTCACTGATGTCTTATTTTGGAAACTGGTCTCATGGCCGCTGACCGTGAATTCGTAAATTTGTATTCGACTATCAGTGGAACTATCCAATTCCTGTGGGTGAATAGTGTCTTTTAAGCGTCCCTGCTGAGCCAGGTTACTGTTAGCTCAGCTCCTTCCTTTCATGTGCCTCATCTCCCGATTCATCCCCACGGCATCGTGAGCTCTGCAAAGTAGACACACCATTGAGCTGCACCAATTGTGCTCGCTCGCCTGCTTCTCTAGCAGTTTGTTTCACTGTATTTGCTGGAGTATTTCTTTTTTGGCGTCCTCTGTCATCTTTTGCCTTAAATTTGGATATTTCAATATCCATGAGTGAGGCAGGTGAGGGAAAAAAAATGAGCTGACCTCTGACAGCAAGGTACACCAATTATTGATGACTGATGCCACCGCTTTAACCTATTTTTAAAACTTTGTGGGTGTGTTGATGGTTGTTCCGTCTCTTCACAGCTGAGTGTGCTTTGTCTTGGTCTGTCCAACTTGTCTCAGTCTTCTTGAACTTTTGTCAGCTCCTCTTATAATGAGGCAATGATTTTGCATCTGGCAGTACAAAATATAATACTGTCACATGTATATTCTTCTAGTAATGTTCATATTAATTTGGTCGGGAGACAAATGGGTACAAATCAGATCAGTTTTATTCTGAAAAAACTCCTGTTCACATTTATTTTGGATAACTAGACAGATTACAAGTTGCAGCATGTGTGCAGGTAATTCTTACGAGAGGCTTTTATTGTTCAGATAAACATTTCAACAATGCATCATGGGTTTGTTAAGACTTATAATAAAAAGCTGGACAAAATCTTCTTTGATGTTAAACACATAGTTAACCACTGATGAGAGCCAGAACACCCTCACAGCTTTTCTTTACGGCCGTCTGGAGTCTCAGCACAACACTTATCTGTTGTCGTGCTCTGAAATCCCAAAGAGATAGATGTGTGATGGCGCTCTTCTTCTCCCTTCGCTCCTCCAGGTTTTGCAATCCTCCAGGCCATCATGGAGTCGGCTGTAGCCAATAACTGGCAGGTGACAGCCCGCTCGGTGGGGAACATTGTGGACCCCACTGAGTACAGACGCATCATTGAGGAGATGGACCGGCGGCAAGAGAAACGCTTCCTCATCGACTGTGAGGTGGACAGGATCAACGCCATACTGGAGCAGGTACAGAGTCACCACACACTCACTGTGTTTGAGGAAAAATAACTTCTATTCAGCTCATGCCTGAGCATGCCTGATTGTTCTGAAGCATTTAAGACTGCTTTTCACCTTGAACACAATCTCCATTTACACATTAAGTGAAATAGGGCTTTATGTTTTTTTCCATTATAACTCCCAGCACTCAGAGTGCATCATAATTGCCTCAGATCTCAGCATCCTCATTTAGGGACACTGTTAAAACAGGCGAGACGGGTACATTCAATTAAGGCGTGTTATTTGTTGTTTTCTTGTGCGCACTTTGTTTGAGGTCACCTGGGCTTAATTCATGGAGAGAAATTAAACAGCCTCCTCATCCTTGTTTCCTAGGTGATCGTCAGCTAGCAGTTTTCCCACCTGAGTCTTTCAGTGTTTTCAAATGCACACCGTTTACTGTGGCTGTGCCACGAAAGAAAATCATGACCGAAAATGTATCAAACGAGGCTTAAATGAGACTTTGCTCACTTGTTCTGGAAATGGTTATTGTTTATTTGGAGGAATAGCAGTTGCACATGTGGTCACATTTTGTCTTGCAAATGAATATTGAATATTTGTCAAGGTTCGAGCATTAGAGACCTGTGATCTATTACATCTGCCTCAAGCTAATGGAGGGACTATGTGGATAGATGGATGTTGACCAAATCTTAACCCAGATCAAAATGTTTCTGTTCAAAGAAAATGACACTGAACATCTATGGATTGCTTCCATGGACTATAAAATTAAATGAATGCCTTGCATCCAGCATAGTCAACTGATGGGACATTAAAAAAGGTCTATTAATAATAGCCTTGTTAAATGATGGACTGTAAATAAGGATGGATGTTGTATCTCTACTTCCTCCCACAATCCAGGAATTAAATCAAAATATCCCAGATACGAGCGCTGCCATTTTGGGTCGTCAATTGGAGTCAGAGGCTGCATAGTGGCGATCCGGGGATGGGGTTGCAATATTGGTATCGAGTCAGTCCCATCCATCAATCATGATGTTTCACCCTGTTTTTATAGCATAAAATAACTAATTAAATCCAAACTTACCAGAAAGAAGAACTATATGACAGAAACCATCTTTTGAGGAAAAAAAGATTTAACATGTATTTTGACTTTTTAGTTTTGTTCATGTCTCTTCCACTAACATGCAGGAGGAGGGGTTTATGACCTGTCCTGCAGCCAGCCACCAGGCAATCAACACCTTTAGACTTATCTTACCAGAAAAACAGCAGCATTCATCTCTTAAACCAGTCTATGTTCACATCTTCCTGACATGCAATGTCGTGCAGCCACACAAATAACTACTGTCGACTTTCAGGAGGAACACTGAAGTAGTGTTATATTGTTATTGTCACGACTGGTGCCAGCATGGTTACAGGAAGGGGGAGCTTGCAAATGCAGATGCCAGAAGCAGCTTCAATGAAGGTGAGGCAGACAGGAGTTAAACACAGATCCAATGAGGAGCAGGCAGAAATTCAGCTGACAGGCATAATGTCACAAACACAGGTAAAGCAGGCAGAAAGCAGACAGGGGAATATAACACAATGTTCTGCTGACGACATGACAAAGACAAGACAATGAAAACACTGAGTGCTAATTAACTGATTAGTAAAAGGTGACAAAAAAGTGGTGGGAAAAGAAACACAAAATCGGGAAGTAAAACAACAAGAGACACATCCAAGTCTAAGCTGGATGAGACACAGACGGGCAGATTGTGACTGTTTTACTGCTGCAGTGTTTGGAAAGTGCTTGAGAGGAGATCAGGGGCGATAGATGAACAAAGTAAGTGTGTGAGTTCGATGCCGCAGCAGCATTTGGTTACTTCTAATCATGCAGCTGATCTTTCCCTAACCAGAGCTGAGGAGTTTTGATTGACAGAACACAGTGTCAGAAACACCAAGTGGGGGAGTTCTTTGAAAGACTCACAGAATATAGATATCTGCACTTGTATGCATAGAAGGTTAGTGCAGCGTATTGCTTTACCAAAGCCATTAAAGCCACATCTCCTCTGCAAGCTCATTTAAAGCATTAATTCAGAGCACGTCTTAACCTTCTGCTCTTTGCTGAGATATTTGCCTGTAAAGGAATCTGCCCTCTACATAACGATCCTCATTATCGCTGGCCTTACGAGTTTCATCCTGACCTTCACTGTGGATCTGTCTCCATTTGCTCCGACATGGGGGAATATTTCTAGTGACAGCACCGAACATTTTTCATTAATTTAGAGAACTCTGCTTGTCTCTGCCCTTCAGGTTGATACAGAGGGGTTTCATGAAATGTTCTCAAATTGCCTCCATATTAGATTCCAGTTATCCAATCAGATAATACTGGTCACCCTGTGTCACGCCAGGTGGATCAGATCATATTCTCTGCAGCGCGGCATATTCACGTGAATGGCCTCTTCGGCAGCCTCTGTCAGTGGAGCGCTTCTGCAGATGCTGGAGAATGGCAAGACATGCCTGCGATCTCTGGAGAGCGACTCCTTGTTCAAGCTGTGACATCAACACTTTGCTTTAATGTAATATCAGCTCCCAGTGTAAGTAGGACACACTGTCCCATAACAGCAACAACAATGAGCCTACTATAAATAGCCTACCCTCCTAGCCTGAGGGAAGATCTCTCACAAAGTCAGGAGTGAGCAAACACAATGAGATCAGTCAGGCAACAAGGAAGCGACGGTTGCGGACAGGATTTAATTTGTAATCAGTGTTTAGATTTGGACCTCATGAATAGATTGTAACCATTAAATAACTGTTAATTGTTTGAAACTTGCACTCAAGGTATTATGTCATTATAAATTAATTTACATGCAGACATCTATCATTTGATTTATGCTAATTACTTTTGTTATCAGGGTAGATTCGGTTGTAACAGGCTTTTTTTGTAGATGGATGTGCTGTGTTTTTTTTTTCCCCCTCCCCTGCTGGCTCTCTTACCACCTTTTAAAAATATCAGTCTGCTCATCCCCTCAGTAAAGTAAAGACGGAGCGATAAACACCTCTAAGGCTCCTCATCAATAATAGAAGCGCGGCAGATTTATAATCGCTGCCAGGGAGGACCTGTCACCTCCAGCCTCCTCCTGCTCAGTGGACGGATCGAGAAAAAGTTAGAGAGAAGAGGAGAAGGAAAAAGCAAATGACTGAAAGGGCAGAAAGCTTGAGCGACTTTAGCGATGTGGTGTGAGTCTCACTGTCTCCTGCTGAGAAGGGAAAGAGGAGAGGGGCCAAATACCCAGAGGTGCACTGGAATTCCACACCCAGAGAGCAGGACATTAAAACAAGATGCTGTAGTGGGATTATTCAGATTACATCTGTGTGGATGTTATTTAATGCTTTGTATGGATTTTTGTTCAGGTGTTGGTTTCTATTGGCGAGACTTTAAAAATCTTTTTCTGTGGCTAAAATTGACTAATTAGCACTAAAGGCAAGGTTCCGCTGAGACGCACTGAAATTTCAATATGCTTCTCACGCTGTAGAGGAAATGTCAGAGGATCACCACAATCATTAAGATTCACACTTTACGGACCTTGAATGTATTAAATTTCATGGCGATCCAGCCAATAGTTTAGAGCCTTAAAACCAGGCTGATAAATGTAAAGAGGAGTATATATAACTCAATAACTTAAATAACCCTCCCAAGTGCAGGTTTACGACAGTGTGATCACAGCGTAAAGCAGCAATACCGTTTTCCTATCAAGCCTGTTTAAATTTTTATAACATCCTACGAGGGGTTTCCTGCTCGCTCACCACAAAACCTGTGGCCTTAAGTGTCTCTGTCAGAGAGCGGCTCACAAACTCAGCCAAAGAGCAGCAACTTTATGAAAGTACATTTGTCCTCACGACTCGTCCAATTCAAATGCATGTTTTGAGCTGTAATGACGCTCGAAATTGGTCTTTTTCGTCACTGTGAGACACAAATCGTCCATTTCTCTTGGAAAGTGCAACATTCAGCATCTAATTTTCTTTCCTTGACGGTTGCCATGAAGTTTGTCAATGTTGCCATAAGTTGTGTGACCGTGGCCTGACGAGGAAAGTTTTCCCTACTACTTTTTGTTATTTTCTTTTATTGTAGGAAAAAATCATCACTGTCACAGGATTATTAACAGGGGCCGGCCTAGAGCACCGGATGTTCCCCACCCCTGGTAAACACAGTGGGAAAGGTTGTCAATGATGGAGAGGAGTTTTGACAACATCCAACTCTCTACGACTGGATGTTCCAGCTCCATCCCCAGGACTGATTCCGCCTCCTGAATCAGTTTGTTGAGTCTGTTGGTATCGGCCACCCTGAGGCTGCTGTCCCAGCAGACAGCGGCATAGAAAACAGTGCTGGCCACCAGAGTCATAAAACATTTGTGGTATGGTGCCACAGACGTTGAACGACCAGAGCCTCTGCAGGAAAAAGATCAGACTCTGGCCCTTCTTCAGAGAGCTGCAGAGTTTCTGATCCCATCCAGTTTGTATTTCATGCACAGACACATGAGTGGAGAGGCGGACTTAATGCACATTTTAGCAGGCTGCAGGAATTTTTAATTTTGGTGAGAAACATCCAATGTAAGAATGAGCAGGGAACGTGTGGAAGCGAGCTCTGTGGCACCTAACCTACTCTTACATAGATAGATTCCCTTTATTGTCATTGCACAGACATAATTCTCTGCAGTCCAGATAGTGCATCCACACATAACACGGCAAGAAAAAAGAAAATTCACCAAGAGAGAGAAAATCCTAATAAATATTTAAGTATTCTTATAAAAATTCCTTCAGATATTCCTATAAAAAGACACAGTCCCCACATACATTGCACAAGAGATCACATACAAATAAATTATTGCACATAGGTAGAAAATATTGCAATGTTTAAAAGGGTGCACATATAAACTGTAAACATTGCACAAAACAATCTCAAGACCAAGGAACATAACTATTACAACAGGAATTATACAAAATGCAGAAATATTGGATTGTTGAAAATATTAATATTT